TTTACAAATGTGATGACATGCCCTTTGTCCCCTGACTATAGGAAGACCCACCTCATTATGGTTAAGCGAAGGTAGTATGTGACAACAAGAGACAGTGTTTTACACCTCTGTTCCCCTAATGAGACTGTTGTTTGGATTGTATTTGCTGTTGCTACCACTAAAATAAAAACCTGTGACATAGTGGCAACACAGTGGGTGAACATGATTTTTATACCAGGAAGAATGCTACTATGTTTAGAAACTAGTAGAAAGTATCAGTGGGCTAAATGATGCAATACCTATCATGTTCTAGTACTATCATACCTGCTTACTATTTGGAGATAATCCATTGATGAGAAAGATTATCCGATTCAGGAAAAAAAATCAATATATTACCAGATCAGATTTTATTGGATAATGCAATCTCTGAATGGATTGTATATTTGTCCAATATCTACTTAACCCTTCCATTACGGGCTGGGTAGAAATCACCCAGCTCGTAACCACGAAGGTATCCATGAGAGTAATAATGTTATGATTTTTTATAATGTATGCACATCTTTATAAAATTCTGTAGGTTATTGGTAAACCTTACAAGGTTTTCGTACACAAAATATTAGGTTTTTAAATTAAGTATTAAGGTTTTTTAATTAAAGATTTTCTCATAAACCTTTTTCTTTCAGAATATTGACTATCCAATATGCAAAGCAATTTTGATTTTAAGATTAAAAATACTTTAATGTATTAGAACATTTACAAATTTCATATGTGAAATCTTTATAGTCTCCAGATAATTATGAAATTTTTTGTAGAAAAAAACTTTATATTTTATTTGTTGTTTTCACTACTGTCTTTCTGTATGGTTGGTTTGATTTGACAGACTTAATAACTTCAATAAAAATTAGGAAAAAAATCTATATTATGCTAGTTTGTTTTAGAATGACTACAAATTATAACACAAATTTTCAGTCTAAATAGCTTAAATCTAATAACATTATACATTTATATATATTTATTATTTTTATTGTATTGACTTTCCAGCTGTGCCTGGCAAACAATACAGAAGATACAATGTTACTGTATCCAATAATATATAAGTGACCATTCTTGGCTGTGTTTTAGTGGACCAGTATTTTGTAAAATGCAGTCAAATTTCTATTATTATACATTATATGTGTATATATATACATTATTTCTATTTACAAATAAGTTATTAAACTTATTTTTCTTAAAACAGTAAATAAAGAAGTAAAGCAAACAATTATCTTTTCTAGTTACAACCTTTGTACTTGTTTGCTGCTTGTCATAGGTTGCTAAGCCTTATGAAATTTCCCACGTGGAGGATGTGAAAAGAAAATCTTTTTAGGTTTTATATATACATTTTAAATAACCAAGAATTCATAAATGACTATATCGATACCATATAGCTCCACTACAATTTATCAAGCATAGTAACTAAGCTGCATTTGAGTCTAAAAAATATGAAAGTTCGAGCTCACTGAAGACTTACTTTATTGTTTGAAATCTTTTGTGAAAAGAACGAAATTAGCATAATAACATGTCATAATGGCTGAGAAAACCACTAAGTGCATTTTGAGCTTTTGATTGGTTATTCATGTCATATATCGAAGTAAGTATAAATAAAGGACCATTTCCAAAAATGGAAAGAGGTGGGTGGGAGGCCACTGTGCTTGACTCAGTACAGAAGCGATATATATTAGCAAATAGAAAAGATAAGAGGTTCTTATTTTACATTCTAGCTTGTCAATATCGGTAGTTTGAGTTCCTAATTCATACGAAAATGTAGATTTGGTATTTTGACATCACAAACATCTAATTTGAACCAGTGCTGCATTCAACATGTCATATGACACACAAAAATCAATGTTTAGCTGTGTTTTTTAATATTTACTTTTATAATACTGAAATTTGAATTATAATCTACAATTTGATACCAAACATAATGACATTGATTCATAAAATAATAGTTCAATAAAATTTTGAATGAAAGTCAACAAACGTGATGTCATGGCCTTTGACACATGATCCATCACCATAGGGTTAAAAGAAACACAGAAACTCTTCTTCACAATCAGTACTGACCAAGAATTCTGTGATAGCTGCATTAATCTATCCTACAGTATTTGCTTTCTTTGAACAGTGGAATTATCCTTGATGCTTCAAGGTAGCTTGAATGATACTTCTTTTGTTGGATGCAAATCATCTGTATTGATGTAATAATGTATGACTGTTTCTCTGCTCAGTTTGTTATCTTGTCCAATAAATACATCCTATTAGTGACTTAATAAGTGCTATCCACTGTTATACATAATAATATCTAATAATCTTCAAACAGCAACTTCAGATGTTCCGACAATCGAATGCATGCATACAAATGTCATTTCAATGAGTGACACTAGCTATAGGTGTAGATTCAATTGCTCTTGCTTTCGAGAACTAATACAGCGTGTAGATGAATATCTGCATGCCCATAAGTGTAATAAATCTTACCTTTGGATAGATAACTGACAAAAACACAGCTTGGATTTGAGAAGAAAACAGTGTGTTTCATGTATGGGTTCCATCACCTCATTAGTCAGTGACCAAACATTAGATTGACCCCATTTGGTTACCATATAAAACCCTTTGAGCATTATAAGAAAGTGTGATGAAACCCTCCTATGTATGCACACATGCTGTCTTTTGATTTTAGATTCTGACTTATTGCTATTAAACGGCTTTCCCACATTCTAATAACATCCCGTCCTATTTATGGAGTAGGCTTATCCCTAAAATACTAATACTTGAGCCAAAATCATAAACAATAAGTTGCCTGTCTTTTGATTTTAGATTCTGACTTATTGCTATTAAACGGCTTTCCCACATTCTAATAACATCCCGTCCTATTTATGGAGTAGGCTTATCCCTAAAATACTAATACTTAAGCCAAAATCATAAACAATAAGTTGCCTAACTTGTTTCATGAATCAGTCTAGATATTCTGATACAGCACCTTACCCGACTAGAACTGGTCTTTATTAGCAAGTTAAGAGATCCACAGCTAATTTCTTGGACAACCACCAGCTGTCATCAGAATCAACAATTCTTTTGGTACCTGAAGGCTTCAGCATTTGCTCAAGCATGTGATTATGACACCTGATCAACAAGTATCATATTGCCAAAGAAAAGGCATCAATAAGCATGTCAAACTTCCATTCCTGCAATCTGCCTCTCTCTCTTCTCAGGACAAGTCATGGCTGTATCAGTGATCATCAGTTTCTTCTGAAAGGCTTGACACCCCACCTTTTTGTGAGATAGCTCTGGTTTGTAAACCCTAGTGACTCTAACCAACACTGGGGATCAATTACACTAGTTGGTAATAATCTGTAAGATCTCACAGAGACCACCCCATTTGATCTCAGGATAGCAAGGTTTAACACTGTTATGGCATATCTTTATCTTTTTTTCCTTGTGTGAAAAAGTCTAAGGGCTAAAAAATGAGGGTAGAAAGGATTATGTGATCTTAATAGGCAGAATAAACAACAGTGAAAGGGATCAGGAAGGCTAGGCTTAGTCTCCCTTATCTGAGAAAAGCAAGAGTAAAGGCTAAAATATGAAGGTACAGAAGATTACACAAGCTTATAAGGATATAATAATACAATAATTCACAACCATAGGAGAGAATGACAAGATAAGGCCTAGTTTTGTTTTGCTGGATGCAAATAAAATGAAATATAAAGACACAAAAGTTTAGGTGATCTTTATAGATGATGTTTATACTAAAATACATCTGTGAAGAATGACCAAAAAGGTCAGGTGTGCCGTAAAAGCTAGGTGGTGCTAATACCAAAACATACAACTATCAGAGGGAACAGGAAGATTAGGTCAGTCAACCTTATGTTGGTAAAGAAAGCATAATGGTAGAAAAGAAAATGTAGAGAGGATTATACAATCTGAAATGGTGGTGTTTACACCAGAACAAATAACTGAGAAAAACCACAAAGGTTAGGCATGGTTTGCTTTCTTTGCATAAAGAAAGTGTAATAATTCTAATTAAGTGTTGGAAAGAAGTTTTTCATTGTATTATTGATACCATACAATTTTCTTATTACACCTGCACTGCTGAAAGTTGATTCCTCTTTGGAAGTTGGAACAATATGGTGAATAACACTTGACAAAATCCTAAATGAAATTAGTTCTAGAATTTATGAATAATCTTTGAAGGTTTAAGGGTGTTGGTTGTGAAAAACAAGATTATTTGTAATGAGTACACTGGAATGGATGGCAACTGCTTGTTCTAGAAGAAACACAGGTGTAGAGGATGATATTTTGAAAGTTTTCTATTTTTTGTCTCCTGAAGACAAAAGATGGAACACTATCAAAACATCATCCTCTACACCTGTGTTTTTTTTCTACAACACACAGTTGTCATCCATTCCAGTGTATTCATCATGAATATTCTGCCTAAACAATCTATCAAAGATTATTTGTAATAGAATAAAATCAAGCTTCATTGCCTAATTATAACCTTAAGACTAAAAAATAGGGTGCATGATATTGTTAGCTTAAATATGGAGAGCAAAACCATAATTAATCATCACACAGGTAATCAAGTAAATATCAGCAAGCATTAAAAACTGTGTTTTTTCATACTGAACATAACAAGGTGTCAAAACATATATATATGTCACATTGTTGAGATGTTATCAAACCAGTCTACTGTTTAGAAATTGAACCTAATTTTCTTTTTTGCTGGTAACTAAGTTCTGTAATAAATGCTGCAAAACTATGTTATAATATATCTTAAGTTTGACAACATGGATTTTTCAGCTACTTTCAAGATATTAACTGTTTGGTATTAAATATATTCAAAACAATTTTCTAAATTCATATTGTTCATGAAGTCCACAAAGAAAATAAGTTATTATCTTTTTAATGTAATGAAAGACATTTTTAAAGAAAAACTTTATTAGGTATACTTGTAAACATTGAAAATTTCTGGCAAAATGTGACAGACCAACCTGGAATGCCATAGCACATTTTCCAAGAGCAAACTGAGCTGTATTTGTTCTGTCCAGACAATCAACACAGTTAACTCTAACCACTCCAGTCTGTAGAATAGATCCACTCTCAGTTATAAATCCTCCAGTTAGTCGATGCTGCTTACTATAAGGTAAATCTTGCCAATAATATCGTGGCCAACTTTGAAAGACTCCTGTCTTACGCAGAACTCCATAGGAAATTTTAGATAGCCTATCCATCACATTGACTTCTTTACTAATAAAAAACAAAATGTCTATTTCAAAATTAATATGAGCAATTCAATCACAAACTATGCATAATCTTTTATTATTCATATTTACAAAAAAACAATTAATTAAACTCCACACAAAATGATTTTATTCAAACCTAACATTTTGGCCTATGCCATTTTCAAATGTTACAGCTTCATATAATAATAGAAACTGATAACCAAAAATAACATATACAACAGTTAGAAACTGATTTAACTTTTTTGATGAACCCCTTGCTAAGTATTTATGCAAAACTAACACAAAGTCTGGAATAAATATCTGTATTGTATAAAACTTGGGGATAATGTGAAAAACCTTTGCATTTATCACTAACTTTTACAAATTTTTTTTGTTATTTTCAAGTCTTTAATAGAAAACCATTTGTTTTTAGAAATATTTGGTCTAACATTATAATTTACAAAACCTTTAAGTACTAAATGAACATAATTTTTTAACTTTTCATACAACTTTCAGTATCCAAATCTGTGGCAGATTGGGAAAGTCAAAGGAAACAGGAAAAACTATTAGATAAAACATTGTTATCTTCAACCAGATCATACGTTTTACAAGAACTCAATTTATAGAAACAATGATGAAAAGATGATCTGATATCTAGTCTTATGTTAGTTGCCTAGAAGTAGTAAAATTTGTACCCTTTGAAAAAATGAAGATACAATCTCTATAGTGTGAGATGTTATTGAGAATATTAACTGTCATTATTCTTGCTCAGTGAATTTTTGTTGGTTATGGATGCAGTTTTGTTACCACTATATCAAGAGTAGAGCAAATAGTTGATGTTATGAACTTGCTGTTTAACATCTAAAGAAATGTGATGTGCTTCTGCTATATTGTCATTACTGAGTCAGATAGTGTTCCCTTACTGACAATACTCTCACAACTTGCTTTACATGTGGTATATAGATAACTGAAATCACTGGTGTTGTAATCACTGGAAAGCATGTATACGGCATGATGAAGAGAGAGTTTTTTGGAAGTTATAATTTTCTTATACTGAAAATGTATTTCTGATAGGTACTTCCCTCCACTGACAAGATTAGTTATTCTCTTCCAGAGCTGCCTTCTATATGTAAATGTTTTCTTTACACATGCCACAAGTCCTTTGCTCCCCCCTAATGGAATTGAATGATTCCAACATGTCTCTCATGTAAATGATCATGCGTCACTTCTTCACCAATAGGAGCACGACATATGTGACACATGTGTCTCTTCTATATGCCTCTACTGAACTATCACTTCCAGGTTTGGTAGAAGACGTAAGCACCAGAGGAAAGTGGGGAGGAAGGGTGGGAATTGTGAGTGGGGGGAAGTACCTATTGGAAATACATTTTTAGTACAGGAAAATTATAGCTTCCTATACAGTACTTCCCTCCACTCACAAGATTAGCTAGAATCCCACATTGATTAGGTGGCAGGACCAGTGTGAGGGATTGACAAAAGTACCCCCTGAAAGCATCCAAAAGATACCCCTGGAAATGAGAGTCAGATCTGAAACACTTCTGAACCAGGTATACTCTTCACCCATCCATGAAATGTGTAGTAGATAAGGGCAGAAAAAAAGAGAGGAGCACATCCAAGTGGGAGAGAACTGTGGCAGGATAGTGATCCTAACCATGTAAATATATATGTAACTCATTCCCACAAAGAATGAAAGTGGGTAAAACAAATGGATGTGCCCCTAGGTGTAGAATGGCTAGGGGGCGATGGAACATAGTCGAGAAATCAACTACATAAATCAATTAAAGAAAGCACCCTAGAAAGAATATGAAGAGGAAAATAGGTATAGAGAAAGAAGGTGGACAAATAAAGACAGAGGGAATACTGCCAGAGCCATGAAGTCTGGACATGATGAACAAAACTGTGGAAGCTTGGTGACAAGGGGAGTCACAAATGTATCAAGAAAAGGACTCCCAACTTAGAAACAAATCTACAGAAACACCAGGAGGTGTACAGAACATTCTGCCCCAGCAAGTTGTTTGGGGCAAGATAGCTGAATGCCTCCAAATTTAAAGCTTCTATCACAAGAAAGACCAACAACCAGACATTGCTTTCATGATCCCAAAAATGGAAGTCAAGAAGACGAAACAGTGACCACAGAGTGAGCCTCCCAGTCTGTTGATGTAAAAACAACAGTGGAGTTGTTGAAATCGATCAAAACAGGATGTCCAGACAACTTTAATGAAAGATTGTAGTAGGTCCATTGAACTGCCTATATCTTAAGGATGGTGGTATGGAAAGACTGCTGAGCAAGAGATGAAAAACTAAAAGGGGTTAAGGTATCTAGAACAACACACCACTCTGTTAGAGATATCCATGAAGAGGAGTAAGTTTTGGTGGGGTGGAGGAGGAATTGAATTTTACAGCCATGTGGAAACTTTAGAGCCACTATAACAGTGAAAGGGAACGAGATGGAGGTAGAAAAATGAGAGAAGACAGTGGATCACAAGGTATATTTCACTGATCTGTCATAATACACTGCAGTGAGAAGTCCCAAAAGAGACAGAACCTTATGCATATTAAAAAAGGAGACATGAGAGTCTTGGAAACCACAAGCTCCATATTTGGGAAGTGTAAAAGAGAAGGTTACCCAAAAACCAGCTCATAACTGTATCAGATACTAAAGGAGAATCAATACTGACTAAGAAGCCTGACCAATCAACTGAAACGAGCAGACTTCCAAAGGTGAAGGGAGGTTATAGTACACAATGGCCTCCCAGAACAGGACTATAAGTTGCCAATTAGCTAGATGGTGGTGAAAATGCAGATCCAATGAGTGCAGTCTCTGTGTAAATTTAACTGAAAATAGACAGTTGAAAGCCTGAATAACAAAGAAGATTCCTAAGAGAAACCCTGTAGGACCCAAAGGTCTCCTGTAACAAAAGTTCACATATGACTAAAGTGTAAAGACTAAGCTCCTGCAGAATCAAAGCTGAAGAGTGATTCCAAAAATAATTGATCTCAGAGTAGAGATACCAGGAATGGGTCACAAGGCAAGAAACTTTCCAAAAGGACTGCATAAAGGAATGATGCCAACTGGGGTTCCCTGAGAGAAATCAGAGATAATCAAACTATTATCCTAATAAACCAAATCCTGGAATGAAAGAAAGTGAACTAAGCAATACCTCAAGAATAAAACAGGGCAGTATGACAAACAGTTTATACAACCTTACTCCAGTAAAGTTGTTAAGTAGTGATGAAGAGCCTCAAAAGGAAAGAATAAAGGAGATAGCAAGCTAAGAAATGTGAGTAAGCAAAAGACAAAGAAGACCAAGTTGGAGTAAAAAGAGTGTCAAAGTATGAAAAGAAAATTCCCAAGTTAGAAGAAGAGAATAAAAGAGTATGAGCACTAGACAACACTTGTCCAACCACAAGCTACAGAGAAGGAATTTTAAGTTAAGGGAGGATATGGTAACTGAGAGTCAAGGCAAAGCACAAATGTAAAGAATTTGCAAGAATGCAATAAATAGGTAAGTGAGGAAGAGGGGAAACACATCTTATAAGTTGAGGTGCATGCATGGAGCTCACCCAAAACCCAGCAGAAAACAAATGGAGGAAAATAACAAATGACACACACCTGAGTTATAAGAACAGCAAAAGACAAAAGTAGGTGTTATCTGATCCTAGTCACGAATAGAAGAAACAGAAGCAAGTTGTGAGAAGAGGTGCTCAGTCTTTTAAAGACAAGGGAGGCTCAGCAAATAGTATAGAAACAGAAAGTCGTGAGTTCTGGATCCAAAATAAACTAACCGCGCAGTATTAACACTGCTCAATGTCCATGCAGCCCCAGTCACCAATGAAATAAAATAAAATTACTTCTATGGAAGAGAATCTGGACTTTGGGAGGTTTCAAAAATTCAGGTATTAGAAATTGTATCCAATAAGATCCATGAAAGTGAATTATAGGAGAGAAAAAAAAAAGAGTAGGTCCAGTATGTCCTTGGAACTTGCCGTGGTTACTATTATAATGACAAAAAGAGTGAGTAAATATCAAAACCTGAACACAATATTAATAATAATTGAAAATATTCCTGTCAAAGAAAGTACCTCACAGACTCTGGGACATGTCTCAAAATCTCATCATTTCATTAAGAGAAGAAATCAAATTAATGTAAGAAAATATCAGAAGCTCTAACTGAAAGTTTAAAAATTTGTTTCTTACTTTCTTGAAATCAAGAAAATCAACTTATGAAAATAACTTCGAATGTTAAGGAAAAGTTTAAAATAAAAAGCACAAATAATCCATAATTCACAAGAATAAAACCCATCCGAATCATTGCAGTGTCAAGAAAAGAATGAATCTTTGACATACATCATGTGTTAAGAGGAATGCTACAGAAAGAGGATGTGATGCCTTTCTATTGGTGTAAGGCTATAGTTTAATGTGATTGAATTATAGACTGGTGCAGTAGACATTATTAAGGGTAAAAAGTTTAATTCAAAGCCTTTGCAGAGATGCAAGGTAATAGCTGTATGTCCAGTGGAGAGGTAAGTAGCATTTTTTAAGTGTTCCCTGAACCACGTTGATCCAAAATCCCATTATTCAATCAAAAGAACTGATGAACCAGCAAGCTAGTCTTATTGTTCCTGGAGCTCATCAAGCGACCACAGCTTCAACTGGAGAAGACCACATCAGTAATTCTAAGAACTTATGAGTGAAAGTTATATCCAGTGGTGATGAGACTTTTTGCCCAATACCAGGGCTTAACAGACCAGCTAAGATACAACAGACCCAGCTGCAGTTAAGATGCTGCGTATATTATGATTTGCACGAACAGTAACTGTTGTTTGTTGTTTTATGGCGCAAAGCAATGAGGGTATCTGCGCCAAACAACCAGTAAGAACGGAGAAAGTAAATTAAAGTGTAAAAGTACAGTGAGTTAAAACCAATATATGTTGATAAAAGATTTATATACAGTTAAAAAGACCTATAGTGTGTAAAAAATTGAAAATACAATCTAATCGGAC